TTTGGGATTCTTCTAAATTGGTCAACTAGGCAAATCATGAAAATGTGATAGGTTTAGGGAACTATTTTCAAAGTATAAAAATGTCTAACTTTCTAAGAAAAGAACTACAATTATCATATTTCACCTTTTTAATTTTAAGATTTCTGTTTAAACTTTTTGAAATTAAAACATTCAACAATCCTGAGAATAATAATAATCACATCTATTCTGTATGTGAAAAACGTTTTCATGCCTAACTATGACAAAAATAGATATAGTAGATAAAATGCTATGAAAAGCCCATAAGTATGAACATATTGGAGTAAATCTGTTTTCATAAGTGGTATAATTAATTAATACTGAAAACATTTAAGATATGTACTTTATGATACATCAACTGAATTATGTATAATACTTGAAATTTTCATATATATAAATTAGTCATGTCCACCCTGGGTGGGTAGCTCAGTTGCTTAGAGCATTGTTCCTATATACAAAGGCTGTGGGCTCCTTCCCAGGTATGGGGACATTCAAGAATCAACAAATGAATGCATGCATACCAGTAAATAAGTAGAACAACAAATTGATGTTTCTCTCTCTCTCAGATAAAATAAAAAATTAAAAAATAATAAACTAATCATCTGCAAATGTTTTCATATCTTACACTATCAATAAAATACTGTCAATTTATATATTATGTATTTATAATTTTTCTTATTTCTTCTATTTCCATTACTCTTTGAGATGCTTTCTAAGCAAAGAAATAAAAGGAACATAAAATCTTTCTAATTTGGGCATTTGTACTCTCCATAAAGATCAAACTACAGGTCAGAAATAAAGAGCATAGGAGGGAAACATCCATACTACAAAGGTAAATAAAGAATTCCAAACCAAATCATTAAAAAATACTTAAGACTACCAAGTAATACTAGCCAAATTGCTATCATTTTGAATTACACTGTCTTTGAAAAAAAATTCTTAGATAAATTGTGAAAAAAATATATTTATGTTAAAAAAAAATTTGTACCATATTTGATGGCCAAGATTTCCAAATACAATGCAATTAGTGAAGAAATATCACTATGCAAATAAGCTTAAGAGAGGGCAATAAGGAGAGGGCAAAATCTTAAAATTAAAAAGGTGAAATATGATAATTGTAGTTCTTTTCTTAGAAATAGATTATATTTTTCCCCTAAACAAAATAAATTTCAAATGATTATTTTATCTTATTACAAGAGGAAATGACTGGACATAAATGTCAAAATACATATAAGAAAAACTTATAGGATAACAAATATCAACTGGTAGTTATTGTGGAATATTGCTCTTCTCCAAAAAAGATCTAATATTTAAATACCATGCAATTCATCTAAAGTACCATTATTATTTAAGCCTATTAAAAACTTATATTTCAAAAGTTGCCAGAAACCTTTCCAGATAATTTAAACATGTTAGCCCACAATCTAACTATAGATGCCCATTTAAAAAATTTGTTAATAATAATAAACTGATAGGAGTATTAATTATTAGCACTTACAAAATAATCATATTCTAATTGATGAAATCACCTTAGTAGGAACCTAGGAGTACAAGTCTGTATTAACCATATATACCCTTCCTTCAATTGAGAGAGAAATCTGTTTCCCATTGGATTTCTAAGTAAGATAATCCTACAAATTAATCTTATTGACAAATTAAACCATCAAAATTGTCAAATATTAAAATTTTAAGGAACACCTCAAAGACTGTGTGCTGCCAAAATTCACAAATATATTTACCCAGTATTGTTAAATTTGTAAAAAAATAAAATATCCCTTATTGAATGCCACCAATGTTTCAGTATTGACATGTGTCAAAATACATTTGAGTTTATTAATAGTCCACAAATATAAGATGATTTAAATCACAAGTTAACATTAGGAAGTCAAATGAATCTGTCATTTTAAACCACCAATGGTCACACACCATCTTCAAACAGCAGAATTTCACTGCATATATCATATCAAAGACATAAAAATAGAGAAAGTACATTACCTAAGACATGTTTATTTTGGAGGATCTGGTAACATTAGAGAAATAGAATTTTGATTGTGTTACTACCAGCAAATTCTAGATTTATGTAACAATGAACACTTTCCTAGCAACCTAATTGTTTTTGATGTGCAGTTCTTTGCAGTCAATATTTTCAAAAGAAATATATATATATATATACACACACACACACACATATATATATATACACACACATATATATATTCATGTCTTAGCATGAATTTTAAAATATTATTTTAAATAAAATAAAATAATTTATTTTTATTTCCTCGTGTATAGAGTATTAAAAACGTTTTCAAATATTTTTTTTTTAAATCCAATGACACACATTTCTGAACACTCAAAAAACACTCATGTCATATATTTAAAATAATAAATAGATCTTGGTCCAGGAAAACATTTTAAAATTCCCTAAATACCAATGCCAATTCTTGCATTAAAAAAAAAAAAAAAGAATATAGAGACATAATAGGGGAGGGAATCTAATTTATAATTATATATAAAACCTAGTATGCTTTCAAAATGCTCAGACAGTAAAATTGTCAGCATAAATAATTTAAAAGACATTTATAAAATTGTCCAAGATTGCAATCTGATTGTATAAGCAAAAGCAATGTTCACATGATACTACACATATTATTTATGACCATCAAATTGTTCCTTGTAGTTGCTTGGCTAAAATCTGTGGGATTCCTGCCTTCTTCCAAACAATTATTCATATAATTTATATGTAATAGACATTAAGTCACGATATAAGACAGAAACCCAGGTATCAAAGATGCAAAAAAATAAGGTGATTGATACCCAAGCAATTTTTTCCTAGATATATTTTTACCATTAAAAAATTCCCTAAAATATTCCCTTTTATAATTTAAAAGTTAAAGATTATCACTACCTGCCTTTTTACATAACAAAAAAACACTAATACTTAGGTTTTATTGACTTTTTACATACTTCTTCCTGAGAATGTATCTAGATATATTCTTCTGAAGAATACAGATACACATATTTAAAGAGCATTTTTATCACATGTCATTTTAATATTGTTCTTTAGTAAACACATAATGTGTAACAGAAGATTAAAGCAAGTCTTTAATAATCAATTACTGTACACTGGAAATGGTTTACTCTCTATAAAACTTTCCCAGCAACATAACATTTCTAAATTTAGTGGCTCTAGTAATGTTTATCAATATATAACCATCAAACAGCTCAAATTTGGATGTCTTATGGTTCTAAATATTTAATTAATAAGATGTCTGATATTTGAATATATTAAAGGTAAACACAGAAAACCAAATTATAACAAGGTGTGATCAAAGAAGAAAAGGGCTATTTTTTTCATTCATCTATAAAACAAATTTATGAGATCGTAAAGGACAATTTAACAACCCAAAGAAGGTTCAAAGGGGGGAAGGCCAGGGCCTGACAGAACTGGATCTGTCAGTGATTTTAGTCACTGCAGAAAATGTGGTTTCATTGTGCAATATAAAGTAGGAGGCATAAAATTCAGTAGCCTGTCTGTGCACTTCTATTTATGTATTTAAACCCTGTTTCAATTCACAGATTACGCTGATCCTTCCACATATAAACAGCCAATAATGATGGCCAGGCCTTTAGGAAAGGAAAACACACACCACACAGCAAGGTCAGGAAGCTACCAAGCACGACAGGACAACAGATCAAAACAGAATGGTTTCATGTGTTTCTATTGTTTATATACTTAATTTGGAGATGATATTCCTTAGGGAGAAAGGAGGTTGTACAGATTACCAGGAACATGCAACAGAGTATCAAATAAGATACATACTTTCCATGCAAACAGACTCTTTTCCTGCATCTACTGTCGGTCAACCTGTAGTATATTGATAGCCATTCATTGAATCTTTTTTAACTTAGATGTCAAGACAAAGTAAACCTCTTTACTCTTAAATCCCTTTACGCCTATCTAAGAATTACAGAGAATAGTTCTTTAACTTCCTTTAATGAAAGGATCAAACTTGCAAACTGTAAATTATCTTTTTTGCTATAAAAGAGATTAAGTAACAGAGAGGAGTGGATTGAAAGGGGATGAGGTATTAATTTGTTTCTGTGTAAAAAAAAAATTTTAAATGAGAAGCAATAACATTCGGCTCGGCATTAAGCATCTTAAAAAATTACAACACACTATAAGGAATGGTGGAAATTTACCCCCAAGTAGCAGACTAGCACATTTTAAACATACAAGCTAGAGCCGCCTCTGGCCACATGTTTTTTTAGTTCAGTCTCTTAAAGAGACAGTATCCTTGGACACAAAGTCCTACACCAAGCACATTTCTGAAACGTTAGCTTTCTAAGCATCCACTCTTAACACTTCTTCAAATCCATACTACGCTAACAGTGTTCTACTTGATTTTCGTGTAAAAGAAAAAAAAATCAAATTATTTTAACTCACATGTACAAATGACCACGGGATATGAACAGGGAAAGCTATGAAATATGTCTCAAATACAGGGACCTACAGGTTTCAACAGCAAACTGCTGCTCGTGTGCTCTTAAACCCTAAAGCGGCCGCCGTTTCTTCATTCGTTCACCTATTCATTCACTAGGCGTGGGCGACAGAGAACCTGGTAACGGACCACACCGGAAGCTGCACCGCTGCAATCTCACTGTCGGATGAAGGAAGGGAACTTGCAATGCAAGTCAACAAGCACCCAAGCAGTAAAATCTCAAAGATTTGACTTTCTGCTTAGGGGAAAAAAATAAAAATAAATAAATAAATACTCAGGAAGGGTATTTTTAGGGTACAGATACCCTAAAAACTGTATTAACGCGTGACCAGGAGGAAGACTTTTGTCTTTCCATACACCCAAGGACGCATGATTATTGTATAGCCATTGACAAAACTGCTTGATCAGCTCCACGTGGAGAAAGGTGAGGGAGGGGGGAGAGGATAGGGGTCGGGGAGTGGGGGGGTGAGTTTGGCTTACTTGGTGCACGAACACATCGACTGGGATGTCCAAGGGGCTCCCCTCTCGGCTGCTCATGGAGATGAACCCGAACCCCATGCGCACGTTGAACCACTTGCAGTGGCCGGTGCCGTGCAGAACCGGGGCTTCCTCCTCCGCCGGCTGCGGCGGCTTCCCGGGCTCGTCGCCACCACCTTTGCCGGCCCCGCCTGAGCAGAACGGGACAAAAAAGCCAGTCAGTCCGCATCGCCGTCCGGTTCGTGGAAAGAGATGGGGGGGGGGGGGTAAAAAAAAAAGGGGGGGGGCGGTTGGGGGAGACGGAGAAGGAAATAAGAAAACGCGATGAAACGGTCGACTCCTGCTTCCCTTCTACAGAAGATATTTAAAATGAAAATAGTTTAAAAAAGGAAGCGGGGGGAGGGGAAGCCCACGCTGTTCGAACATATCGATCCACATCCCACTTGCACGGCTCTGTCCATACGTGTCCTTTTACACTTAACCCCCCCCCTCCCCAGACCCCCCTCAGGCACACGTTACAGTACAGCACGAGCGATACTTTACTTGCATGTTGCTGATGGAACACTGATCCCATTTACAAAGAGAAAGGGTTCCGGCGGAGCCTGCTCTGGGGCGGGCGCCGGGGGAGACCTCGGAGACGTTGGAACCAGTGCCCGGGCACACGCGGCGGCGGCGGGTCCGGCGATCTGCGCGGTGCAGTCCCCTCCCCGCCCCCCACAACCTCCATTAAAAGCTGGGGGGGGGGGGGAGGGGGCAGGTGTATAAAAGTTTCCTCGGGCTCCCTCACTGAAACTGCGCTCAATCACACTCACAACAATCCAAACAATAGCCCCGTGAAAAAGCTTTTCCAAGCCGTGAATCGGGGTGGGCGGTGCAGAACATTTTTGGGGGGATCGGTAACAATGGGCTGCAGAAAGCCCCCCCTGCGCGATGGAGGTGGGGAGGGGTGCCCGGTATTGGGGTAGAAGGAGGAAGGGGGGGGTAACGGCCAGAGGAGGGTGGGAGAAGGGAAGGGGGGGGGGGTGGAATAGAGAAAGGAAGAGAGGAGAAAAATCACAGTAAAACAATAGAAAAGAAAATTAACCTTCGGCCATGTTGCCCCACGGGCCCTCGGCTCCCAACTCGTGAGACGAAAACTTTCCCTCGGCCCCGGAGCGGTCTTCGGCGTCAGTCTAACATCTTGATTTTGTGCGATCACACATTTAGCTCGCATGGTCTAACGTGCTTTCCCTCTTTTGATTTTTTTTCCCCCTTCCCTCTTCTCTCTCTCTCTCTCTCTCTCTCTCTCTCTCTCTCTCTCTCTCTCTCTCTCTCCAGTTTCTGGCCCCCCGAGCACACGTGACTTTGTCAATTACATGCTTTCTGGCTACTAATTTCACCTCGGATCCTGAAGGGGCTGTGGCAGGAGGAAGAGATAACCAATCGCCATTTCATCTCTGCTGACATCGAAATAATTTATGAATGGACACGAAAAAAAAAACAAACCTCAAAACGCGTTAACCTTAAAAACACATTTTTAGGGCGCTTCTTTTACGATAAAAACAGAATGCTGAGGTCGTGCTTTTATCTAAAGCACAACGGAGGGTCCTTGGGAATCATTAAAAAAACAAAACAAAAACGGGGCACAGTCATACATGTGCACACGCGTGCCTTCCACAGAAGCCTGTCCAAATCATCTCATTTAGGGGGGGAAAGAGCCATTTAGTAAAGAAAGCAACCGAGGTTTACGCTGTGAGACCATAATCAATAAAATAAATAAATTAATTAATTAAAAAAAAAAGAATTCAGCAGCTCGACAGCAGTAACTCGGCTTGGGACGCACATCTATTTAATTCAGTCTTAGGAAATATGTAATTTACAAAAGATCTAATTAAACCTAATGATATCTCCATGAAAGTTTAGATAATGATAATAGGCACCTACAATAAGACAAAAAAGCACACGATTACCTGAATGAGCCCCCTCCTTCAAATTGAAATCCTACTAGAAAAAAAAAATTCAAAATGAAATCCTACTACAAAAAAAAAAAAAAAATCACTTATCACCTTCATGTGAAGTCAAATTGTGTGGAGGCTGATCAATTCGCCACATTTTGTTGGAGGGGGCTGGTGAAGAAGCCGTACTTCACAGGTTTCCCCGCCATCTCTCTCCGGGGGAGGAGAGGTGATTAATGACTTCCTAAATAACAGCCCCGTTTTCCAGCTCAACGTGTGGAGCGAACCTCAATCACTGGCGATTGTTCCCCAAGAGCGAGAGGAGGTAGGGCGGGAGGGGGCGGGGAGCGCCGGGCCGGGAGGTGCAGAGGGGCGGCCGGCAGAGGCGGCTGCAGAGCTAAGCAAGAGGTGGGGGAGGAAAAAAAAAAAAAAAAAAAAGGGCGCCGGTGGGGGGAAGGGTAAAGAAAGAGAGGCAAGGGGGAGACAAAAAGGTAAATGCATAGACTAATGGACTGGACCGTGGCTTTTTACCCGTGGACGGGGAAGAGTCGAATGAATGAAAACGTAATAACGGATTAGGCGCCTACCCCCGCTTCGCCCTCCACGGTTTCAAAATGCTTTCCTTTTACCTTTCAAATCGGTTCTAATGATGGCAGATTACTAGATACCGACACCAATGTTAACCGCCCTCATCGAATGCTACAATAAATGTTCTAGATCAAGTAGAAATGGCTTGTTTCCTTTAAGACAGAAAGCATCGCCCGTTTTTCAAACATTTAAACGCGCCGCTACACTTTCTCCCTCTCCCCAACCCCCATCTTCTTAAACAAGCAGTTTACAGAGAAAACTGAACAGATACCACTTCCCTTAGGCAAGGCTGCCGAGCTGACCCTCCCCCACCAAACCCGCAATCCCCTCGGGTGTCTCCAAACATGTCCACACTGCTAACTCCTAACACTCCCAACCAACACTGTTTCAGTCACTGAAGTGCAGGCAGCCTGAATCCAAGACCTTTTTGGAAATCCACAAACGGTATCTATGCACATCTCCTCATACTGAACAAGCAAATATAAATGTACCGTATACTAATTGGTTCAGATCTGAAATAAGTGGATGTATAATATATACAAGTATATGCTGTTTTTGGCAGTCTGTGGCAAAAGGCTTCAATAAAGACAGATGATTTTGTAACAAAAAAACCCCAAAACAAACAAACAAACAAAAAACAGGTTTTTTGTCTTTATTTTGTTGTCTCCCACGAAAGGGAGTATAAACCTTGGTGGGGAGGAAAGAAAAAACATGAAAAATCCAAATGATTTGGAACGAGTTAACAAAAGCTCAAAGCTCTCACAAAAATTATTTGTTAACAAAACATTTACTAGGCATTATTTTAATAAAAAAAGCAATTGATTACATTGACCTATAATGAAGTAACTTTTAACAAGGGCGTTCATTCCAGGATAAACATTTCACAAATGACACAAAATAGAAAATACTAACATAAGTTATGTACCTTTTAAAAATAGTTTAAATGACAGGTTTACTTTTTAAAAAAATCAACATCTGGGTAACAGAAAAATAATCTGGAAAAGTATGCATGTAAATTGAGGGGGAAAGCTATTATTCATGTAAAACCAATTGTCATAAAATTCACAAGCCAGTACAGTTTAGTTGTCAATAACATACATTTATAGCACCCGCTATTTTATCTGTAAGTTTGTCTTAATTAGAAAAGTATAATAAAATCAGAAACCATAGGCGGATTCTGAATCCTTGTTTATTGTTAAATTAGATGAAATTCAAACCTACCCAATACACAGCTTACACGTGTGAAATAGCATAACTCAGCCACACAGTATGATAGGAGAATCAGTCTTGCCTGATTGGGGGCCTCCAGTATTGGTGGAATTAAGGCAGGGTTCACTGGACTGGTCACTGGTGTCAGAGGTTATCGACTCATTCATTTCCTGAGAGGGACATCAGCCTTTCAAGTTGTGTTAGAAGGCTTTTTCCAACTGGGAACTCTGAGAAATCCTCTACTGTTCATTCACAAAGAATTTAAGGCAACTGCATTTACATACCTGGGGGGGGGGGGGGGTAAAAGAAATGGGGAGAGAAGGGAGGGAAGAGAGGGAGAAGGAAGGGGTAAGGAAATTGGGGAGAAAAGTGAACAGACAGACACTGAGCAAATATCACCATGTCAGGGATATGGCACTATCTTTTACATAGATTGGTCTTTTCTTTCCCACACCCTTGTCTTTTGAGCCTAAGATCCTTTTATAAAACGGAACATAATCTCTTTAAGCTCAAAGAAAGCGTTTTTTCACATAAAATGGTCCTATGAATCTCCTTAGAATGCTTTCCAATTTGTCACCTTTCTGAAGTCTTCTGGTTTTAATATTTTTCTCATTTCCTACTTGATTTTAGTGCCAGAAAGACCTGTGCTTGACTCAAAACGCATGTTTTATACTCGTGAAAGCCAAATGTTTCCGTAAGTTGATTTATCATAGTTCTTCCAAAACATCTTTTTAAAAAATGAGTTCAAATAGCTTACATAGATTTTTAACGCGCTGGGGGTAAAAATGAAGTAAATAACCTATCATGTGCCCATTGGGTACCACAATCTAAGGCTTCTACATTTTAAAAAAGCAAAGTGCACATGTTCTTGGTCGTTGTTTTTTTTAGTTTTTTTTTTTTTTTTTTTTTTTTAGTTTTGTTTTTAATTCCAACCATGCAAGGCAAGGAGCCAGAAGAGGTGCCACAGCCCACCGCCGTTGTTTTCCCATAAGCAATGAGTAACTTTTATCAAAGCACAAACAAGGCTTAGGTCCTTAAAACGAAGAGGAGGGGCTGTAACAAACACTGCCAGGAGCGGCTCCACCGGGGGCTCTCCTCCCGGCAAAGGAGCCGAGCGGGGGCTGCAGCCCTAGGGCTGGTCCGCAGCTCAGCGATTTCACGGGCAGTTCGCACCCCAGGGCCGCCGAGACCCCCGGGCCAGCCGAGCCTCCACCCTCCACCTCCATCCTCCCCGACACTTCCTTTCCTTTTTCTCGTCACCTTCCCCTGGATTCAGCACATCACCACCTCCTCTTTAGAAGTGGAACCCTTCCGAAGGCTAATGATTTCTCACTAATGAATGGATTTTTACATGTGTTCCTCTCTCTCCCCTCCTCCCCCCACCCGCCAAGAACGCCAAACAAAGGAAACCATTGCCTTTACCACTAGGAAGGCAACCCTTGGCACAGTCTACTACTTTTACTGCATTTCCAGATATAGTATGTAAAATGCGATGCCTATTTATCTGGGAGTTATCAGTCTCGGAAATCTAAGATAAGGGAGGTCAAAGGGGAAGGAATCAGGAGAACCCCAGAAAAGGGCCACTAACACCCTACTCTCCCCGCATCACCCCCCGCCCCCCCCAATCATAACCCACCCCGGCATCGCCTAGAAGGGAAAGGTCGCCAGACTCCTGGCGCCGGTGCCGTAGGGCAGCCGCGAAAACAGCGCCGGCACCTTTGCAGGGTCAGAGAAAGCCCTCCGACCGGCAAGGGGGCGGCCAGGGGCGATTTTAGGGAACCTGCTCTCTGGCCTTGGCGACTGTAGTTTCCCAGCTCGAAAGCTGCACGTCGGGCAAACTGTTCCCAATTCCTTCCCATTGAGATTTCAGCAAACTACTAAGCAAATAACTTTCTTAAAATTCTTAACAATACGGAACCAAATGAAAGGAGTACTCCCCTGGGTGCCTTGATCTTATAATAAAGGCACTTCAGAATATGGGGGGGGAGGGGGGGGCATTATGTTTTTTGTTTTCAAAAAGCAAAATTCCCTTTTATTTAATTTCCTAATCTGGAAGGAAAATTCTCTGGCTTTTAACACAATTCTTCCCTCTTGAGAATTTTTATATAGTTGTAAATCTCTTTAAAAATTTTTTTAAAACTATCTTAACACATTTCCCCAGGTATAATTAAATAAAATTATGGAAATAAAGGAAACTATTAGCACATACTTTAAATTTTCCAAATTGCTTTCAACACTTCAAAAAAGAAACATTTGCCAATGTTTCCTTCTTTTTGACCAGCTATGTTTCGGCTATGTATTTGTAGCAATAAAATTAACTCAGAAAATGGACATTATTTTAGGGGCATCCATTTTGTAAAAAGTTTCCTTAAAACAACTAACATAGAAAAAGAAAATCCTGTTCAATTACCACACTCCCCCAATGAAAAGGGAAAAAAAAACAAAACATTTTTCTTACATGATTTTAATGAGGGCAGAAATAGGTTAGAAAAATCATTTTGTAATAAGCTCTCCATTATTTTGCCTAGAATAGCACAAAGGAAGCTTCTTGTTTTACATGAGAAATGAGCCATTATTTTTCATCTATACCAGTTGAATCTGTATGCTTCATAATTTAAACATATTTTTGTGGTAAACATTCTGTCTGTATAAATGACACAAAAGAATGTAAATAAGTATTCTTTCCTCTCCAAGGCAATGAGTGAAAGTTTATTATAACTTAATGTCATCAAAAGAAATAAATGAAATAAGAGAATGAACTGTTTTCCAGGCATTTATTTTAATATTTCTACTTTGGCTTTATTTGGGAGAAGGAGTCAGGTGTGTGGAACATGGGAAGGAAAAGAACAGTAGGGGAATAAAAGATGAGGGAAGTGGGAAGAAATCAGGTTTTAAAGATACTTGTGTGGGAAGCCAATCTGTGGAGAAAGAACATCCAGCCAGAAACTGGAAGTCAGAGTTCTGGTCCCACTTGCTGACCTTGCTAATTACTAAGATCCTCTGGCCTCAGTTACTTCATTTGCAAAGTGAGGAGAGACTGGACTAATAGATGTTCAAGCATTTCAGTTTAAATGTAATCCCTGGAAATAACCACTCTTTTTGGTGAAAGTGGATCCTCTCCCACACAACCCCTTTTTAATCGCAAGGAAACACAGACATGAAACTTTATTGCAGTCACTTAACACATTGGTGTTAACATTGTTTCCCAACAGAAAAGAAAAAGGTTATCTGGCTTGTCTCCAGTTTGCCCCCCACAGAAAAACCACAGTCTACAGTTATCAGAAACTAGCTGGTAAATTAAAATATTGTAGCAACTTTTCAGAATCTTCTTTTTCATGATACTCATTAGAGCATCATCTCCATGTCAAAGGATTCACTCTAGAAAAAAGGAAAGTGTTTGTCAAATGGCAATGCCTATCAGTTGTTTCCTCATTAAACTTTTTGACCCCTACCATTTTCCTCTTGCTACCTACAATCTTAAATTTGATAAGCTATTTAATAACAGAATAACGTCTTTTTACTTAAACTTATTTAATGATCAGAAACTTTGTTATATCATAGTTTTTAAATGTATTTTCATAGTAATATCAGTCAATAGAGCCAAGATATTAATTTCATCAGAGCCAAAAATAGTGTTATAAGTTTTAAGTGAATTTCAGAAAATAGTTATGTCCCCAAAATCCAGGTTTATAGTACACCTAAATAAATGAAAATATATATACCAAAATAAGTCCAGTTAAAAGTTCAAATGCCTCATTCTTGCAGTATAATAAGAAACAAATATGACACAAGTTCATGAAAATCAAAATAAATGGAGGCTTTCCTAGACTAGTGAAATTCCCTAATTCTCTGAAAAAATGTTCTATGTTATGGTAACTTATGTGAAAACAGTACCAACTCTCTATCTTTAAATTAATTCAGCCTATTGGTGTTTCAAAAATGAACAAGCTACAAATAATCTTCATTCAGCTACATAAGCATATAATTATCTATTTTGCCTGAGTTATGAAAAAACCCACAAAATCCAACGCTGCTAAAATCAGGAGGAAAAGCAGTTAATGAGGACATTTCATCCCTGCATACTGGTGGGAATATCAGTTTCCAGGACAGAGTTAGCTGGAGTACAGTGGAATATGGTACCCATCTTGCCAAAGTGAGTTTCTGAAGGCTGTCAAGTTTCTTATATGCCCCTAGTGATCTTTTCAAACATAAGTTAAATAAATTATTTATTTGGGGGAAAAAATAGACTCACCTGGGGCTGATGAAAACTGGTTGAATGACCTCATCATCTTCTGAAGAACCTAAAACCAGAAAACTCAAGTTAGAACTACATTAATTGCCTATCCAATTGCCTCTTCATCAGCTTAATGGCTCATTAGAAAGCAATAAAATGCCTAGGTTTTGACTCTGTGAAGTCAAATTTAAGACTCACCTAGCAATATTAGGTAGATAACCAATTGGCATACAAGTGTATGCCTACACTTACGCCTTTTATTACTATTAAAGGACACTGGTTTAAAAAACATTTTAAACAAGACCATTAAGATGTCAAATATCCTGATTTCATCAACAATGCAATTACATTTTTAAAATATTTCATATTACATTGTAATATAAGAATCCCATTTAAAAATTATTTTTTTTTATTGATTTCAGAGAGAAAGGGAGAGGAGAGATAGAAACATCAATGATGAGAGAAAAACCATTGATCCACTGTCTCCTGCAAGCCCCCTACAGTGGATCTAGCCTGCAACCTGGGCATGTTTCCTGATGGGAATCTAACCAAGAGCTCCTGCTTCACAGGTCCATGCTCAAATACTGAACCACGGTGGCTGGGTAAGAATCCCATTTTTTTTTTATTTTTTATTAACAGTTAAGAATCAATCTATCCTACAATATTGTGCTTCTTGATGAACTTATTTATTCTCTTCAGATATGCTTTAGATAGAAGATAAACCATGAAAATCTAACTGTGGTACTACAACATTGACATTAGGTCTCTCTCTGTTACATTCAAATATCCTTTGTGAAAAAATTATTTTAGTAGTAATTCATTTAATAATTTAGTACATTTAATTAATACTCATTAATCCAGATTTTAAAAAGCAACAGTTCTTGTTTAAAAAATACGAATTACCTTCTGAAATATCTAATATATCTGCTAGCATATGTCACAACACAGTAACACTTGCAGTAAAGAGTTTACTCAGTAATGGAGTATAGCAATTGGAAAAGAAACTCCTGATAGCCATTGAATTATCATTTTTATCCTCAAGTTAGTTACTGAAGTTTGGAAAACAGATCTGTTTGAACATGCATCCCTTACCTGCTATCACCCAGGGTTGTCTTTGTTCCCTTTAACTAAGTTTTACATGTCATATCTACTCACAAAATAAGCCATTATGTGTAAGTTCTATAAGTGCAATTTAATTTTTTTCTCAAAACTAAATGGAGCCCTGGTAGATGTGGCTCAGTTTGGATGGAGCATCATCCCATGCACCAAAAAGTTGCAGGTTTGATTGATCACCAGTCAGGGCATGGATAGGAGGCAACCAATCGATGTTTCCTCTCTCACATTGATGTTTCTCACCTTTCCTCTTTTTCTAAAAGCAATAAACATATCCTCAGGTAAGGATTAAAATAAAATAAAAAAGTCCAAATGGAGGATTTTCCAAGTTCAAAGTTATTTTGAATGTTGACCCAAGATTCTTCTTATAACGGATGACAATCCCACTGAGTAGAATGTGAATAGAGGAAGAAAGAATGTGAACAAAAGGACATGAAACTCTACATTAAATCCTGTGTTTACAACCTAAAGACAGAAGATGATGACAGACCCTAATGTTAATAAAATTCATTAAAACATTTGAAATAGAACTTTCCTTTACATTGGGGCTATATTAAGTTTTACTTTGCACACTACGTTTCTGCAGGGCTTTATTTAAATATTACGTTCACATAATTTTTGCAAAACCATAGGTCATGTTTTTTTTAATTCTAATAGCCCACAGTCCATGCTTAATTTTCTCTACTTATATTTACAGAAAAGTTCAAACCAACATATTCTAAAGATGCAGAAAAGCAATCAATAAAGTTTGATAAAATTTTTAACTAATTCAGATAAATTATTATAAATGGTAGCTTTAAAAGTAAAAATCAAATGGCATGATGTTATTTAAGAACTCTATGAACTGAGTTTAAAAAAAGGCAATCATTTGGAATGATAAAGATGTTCACATTTTTCACTGTCCAAACTTAGATATGATAGTGTTTTGTTTTGTTTTTTATAGTTTGAATATCTCCTTCCAAAGGAAAAGATGGAATTATAACATAGACATTAATTGATATAGTTCCCTGATATTAATGGTACAAAATTTTTCAAAAATAAGTTAGTAGCCGGAACCGGTTTGGCTCAATGGATAGAGTGTCGGCTTGGGGACTGAAGGGTCCCGGGTTCGATTCCGGTCAAGGGCATGTACCTTGGTTGCAGGCATATCCCCCGTGGGGGGTGTGCAGGAGGCGGCTGATCGATGACTCTCTCTCATAGATGTTTCTAACTCTCTATCTCTCTCCCTTCCTCTCTGTACAAAATCAATAAAATATATATTTAAAAAAAATAATAAGTTAGTAAAGAATTAAGTTTAAATATGAATATTATACTCCATCCAATATTTACTGAACAATTATAAGAATGAGATAGGTAAATGTTACATAAAATATTTATATTAAATGTTCATATTCTTATTATAGGTGACTATTAGAAATAAAATAACAATAATTAAAATAATTCCTTAAATGGATTAATAATAATAAAAAAACACAGCTATTTGTAGTTTTATACATGCCTGTATTTATTTAATACTATACTTTGGAGTAAATATTAAAAAACAAAAATTTAATTAAAATTGTGATATGCTAAAATATACTTCTCTGACCCTTCACTAGAAATACCTATTCATCATTTTTATCTCCGCTTCAATCTATTTTTCTTATTGTTACACACTAAGTACATTGCTTTTAGCATCTAATACTGTACTGAAATTGACTATAATAAACCTGGGAAAATGTTGTCTCTCCCACATGGATTTTATGCTCTATGTTGGCAGGGATTGTATAGATTTAGCACATCATTTTAATCTTGGCATTCTTTGGGGTTTAATACACATTTTTAAATTAATCAATAAGTAGTTAATGTGTTTTTGAACCTGGCTACACCATCTGTAGAATAGTTTACTATGAAATAAATTAATTTGTGTACATTTTCTTAAAAAAGCATCTTTTTAAAAAAGAGAATGTGCTAGGTACTTAATTGTTTGACTATTATAAATACAAAACATTTGCATATAATGTGATTTCAAGAATTTTATTTAAAGTATATGTACTTACTGTTGTAAAACTGCCTAACTAATATTACAAATACTCTTAGACTTCATACTTACTACTACAATATATAAGAATATTTTTCTCAAGTACTTGACATATTGTTAATCTACTATTGTAACTATTCAATATAAAGGAAAATGATTACTACTACACATTATACACTCCTTTAAAAAAAAATTGCCATTAAGCTGTTGAGCCCAGAGAATTGAATAAGTAAAAACACTACTATAACATGTTACTCAGAACTTTATTTCAATTCCATTTACATCATGTTAATCTTCCTCTCTAATATTAATATGCAAGTTACTTTAAATTTTCAAGAATGATTTAGTAATCAAGAATATTTACCAATATAAAAGGAAAATTATTTCATTTACTCTCATCATTATAATTTCTCAACATTTAAAAAATGCTTTTGAAAACAACTTTAGTTTCTCATTATCAGTATTTTCTAAAATAATGTAAGTATAAGATACATTAGTTTACTACAAAAACATTCACTTTATGGTTTATAACAAATATTTTAGTCTATTTACAATATGACAATTATGATTGAAGTAAATACATTATTTGAAAAGTAAACACCAATGTAACTTTTCCTTCCTAGAAGAATAATTAGGGTAAAAGTTTTTGAATAACTCTACTTAAAATCATAGAACAAACATCCTATACAAACACCAGATAGAAACCTAAAGCATAATACTTACTTAGATTACTATAACAAATATAACATCAACGCATTACCTAAAATATCAAATGTTGGAGTTCAATATTGAAATTAATGTGTGTTTTTTAAATCTTTGTTGAGAGTATTACAGATGTCTCCTTTTCCCCCCGCCCCCCATTACCAGCTTCCACCCTATTCTATTCCTAACCCACCAAGCCTTCACATCTCTATTTTCTGTATCCATAGGTAATGCATATATGCATATAAAATCTTTGGTTAATCTCCCCCCCCCCCTTACACTGTCCTCTAAAGAAATGTTTACTATGTATTAAAACCCTTCACTGTAATTACTTTTTGTGAATTAGTCAACAGAATTCAAATGCTGCATAAGTAAAATCAGGATAGATTGTGTAATTCAACTGAACATTCTACTGTAATTTTACCTATAACTGAAATACTCTACCTTTAAATATATACAGGTACAATTTTTAAAAAATGATCTACTTTAAATATATTTACATGGGACTTTATACAATTGAAAAATCATAAGTCCTGGAGTGTTAAAACAGGAAACTTCACATTTGGTGAAATATTTTGAACATTTTCTTGAGAGAAAGAAAAATTTATATTACTTAAGAAAAATATTTCAAAACTATATTTTTATAATTATGAATTAAATTATAATATATAATTTTTCATTATTTATAATATTTAAATAGTTAAGCTAAAATTAGAGGCTAGTATCTCTAATATTGCTAAATTACAGAGATGAGTTTAACTTTCTCAACCACTTTCAAATTGAAATTTTATTGGTTTCATATAAGATATTGGCAGATCTAGAATACTCTTCAATTAAGTGTGGTAGACAATTTATTTTAGAAAATAAACTTCAATGAATATTAAGTCAATTGGCACACTGTCTAAAATTGTTTAAAGGCACTGAGTATAGCACAATAGTTAACTGGTAAGAACAATTCTTTAACTTAAATGTGAAAGTTGTAACACAGTTGAGCTATAGCACAGTTGGTTAGGTTAAGGCAATAGTTTGTATTTTCCACAGTATTAAACAGTTCCATAAAATAAAGCTCACAGCTGAATAATTGAAAAGATCACTTTAAATTAAATAACAAATTTTGATTTTAAATTAAAGAGCCAAAATAATGGCAAAATTTCAGTTTAAAAAGATAATCCCATATTTTGAAGGCTCAGCATAACTTTAAAGATAGAAACTTTAATGTA